CCAAGAATAGACTACGAACCGACCATGTATAAGAACAGACCAAGAACATACCATGTTATAAGAACAGACCAAGAAAAGACCAAGAACAAATCTTTTTTTTTCTAAACCCAGTAGATATTCATCATATCAGACAATGTAAACCGATCTTTACCATGTAAAATTACTATTTTAATGGATTTTTAACACTTTTAACTACATTCTCATCTTAAAAACATATGAACAACAACGAAAAACACCATGAGAGATATAAAAAAAGAAAGACTTAGGCCTCGTTCATTTCACCGATTCGAGTTTTCAATTTTAGGTTTCTATAGTTAAAAGTTCTCAGAAAATGTCACATCTAACTTTTTCTGCTATAGTTAAAAACTCTCAGAAAATGTCACATCTCAATTCGAATTGAAAACTCAAATTCACGAAGCGAGCGAGGCCTTAGTAGCTCTTCTTCAAATTTCGTTTTGGACGAGAATAAAACGCTGAATGGGCAAGATAATAATGTTAATGAGGTTGTGCGACGACGAGGACTTGAGAAGATGAGAGAGGAAATGGAAGGCGGCTGGGAGAAGAAAATGGCGGGAAATGGAAGAGGAGAAAGAGAAAGAAACACTTAAAAACATAATTGATGACGTGGAATAACTGATGTGAAAGTTGACCTATTTACCTAATTATTTTTTTTATGGTTTATTTACTTAAAATCACTTTTTACTTAGTCTATTTTTCCACCAGTCCCATTTAAAAATGTGGTTACTTTTGGTCGATCTAAGATAAGCAGTTCTTTTTTTTTTGTCATGTTCAAATATGATTCAAGTCATTGATAGTTTAGAGCAAAGATCCGTACTATGGTTCGAATTATGGTTCATGATTCGCTACAGTATTTTCTCTCACAAAAAATACACGTAAACCAAGAATGATTATGAATTATGATTTTGAATCTACGAACCAAACGTCTTTAAATCTTGACATTATAGTAGTATTGTCATTGTCATCTTCTGCTATAATATCTCTAACTAATTGGTGTAATTTTATTTAACCGTTTTTAAAGAGATTTACTAAATTTAAAAATAAAAAATAGATTAAAATAAAAGAAGTCTCATTCTCCTTGTTATTTTTACTTTTTTATTTTTTATTTGCTAAAACCTTCTCCTTGTTATTTTCAGCTTCGCCTTTTACGATCTCGCTTAGATAATTTATAAGCTTCAACTCACAAGAGTTCTTCTCGTTTATTTTCTATAGTAAGGAATCGAAAGAAAACAGAGGAGTACGAATTATATTTATGTTTGTTGAAAGATCTTGATGATTATCTTTGCTAAATTACTTGTTAATTGTAGAATCACTAACTTATAGAATCCCTTTCATGTTCAATTGGCATTAAAAGTAAAAAAAAAAAAAATTAATTCTGTAAGAAACAAAAGAAACGCAACAAAACACCACTTATATCTTATTTTCCACCCTTTTTCTTACTGTTTTGGGTCCCAAAAAAATTCCACAATATATGTTACTAATTGATGTAATTTTTTTTTTGCCAGATGTTTACTAAATTAAAAAAATTAAAAAAAGATTACATATTGCGGAGGAAAAAGTATTTGGCTAGTGAGAAAAATATTATTCTCATTAATGTGAATAAATGAATACAAGCCAATATATATACAGAATAGAAGCGTATGTTATAAGCTTGATAAGAAGCTTATGCTACAAGATTAATAAACTTAACAAGAGCATAAGTATTCTTAAAACTCCCCCTCAAGATGGACAATGAATATATTTCACAGCCATCTTAGATAAATGAGAAAACAATAGAGTAGAGGGTAATGGCTTGGTGAAAACATCAGCAAGTTGAAGATTATAACGAACAGGCATGAGCTTGATGAAACCATCAGTGACCTTGTCATGAACAAAATGGCAATCAATTTCAATATGCTTGGTCCGCTTATGAAAAGTGGGATTCGAAGCAATGTGAACGGCGGCTTGGTTGTCACAGAATAGTAGCATAGGGGCAGCCAAAGAAACACCAAAATCCTGCAACAACTGCTTCAACCTACCAATTCACTAGTAGTAGCAGCCATGGCATGATACTCAGCTTCAAACGAGGACCGAGAAATAGTGGCTTGCCGCTTGGCTTTCCAAGACACAAGAGAATCACCTAAAAAGACATAATAACCAGTGACAGAGCGCCTGGTTTCAGTACATAAACCCCAATCCGCATCAGAAAAGGCTTTAAGCTGTAACAACGAGGAAGCAGAGAAAAATAAACCTTGACCATGACTAGTTTTAAGATACCGAAGAAGATGATGAGCACCTTGAAGATAAGGAGCACGAGGTTGAGCAAGGAACTGACTCAACTTATGGACTGCAAAAGTGATGTCCGGCCGAGAGAGAGTAAGATACAACAAACGTCCAATGAGACAACGATATGAAGAAGCATCAGGCAACACAGGACCATCTGTGGCATTTAGACGAATGCGAGGATCGATTGGAACTGGAGCAAGCCAACAAGCAAGAAAACCAGTGTCTTCCAGCAGCTGCAGAGTGTAATGATGCTGGGAAAGAACAATACCTTTGGTCGACCGAGCAATTTCAAGCCCAAGGAAGTATTTCAATGAACCAAGATCTTTGAGCATGAATTGGGTATGAAGAAACTGCTTCAAGGAGTCAATATGATGCTTAGAAGGACCTGTGATTATGATATCATCAACATATATAAGCAGAGCAAGAAACGAAGAACCTGTCCCTTTAGTAAACAAGGAATAATCAGCCTTAGACTGAACAAACCTAAACTGAATAAGGGAATGAGAGAACTTAGAGTACCATTGTCGCGAGGCTTGTTTAAGACCATAGATGGACTTATGAAGCTTGCAAACCAATGGCCCATGATGTGACAAAATCTCCCCCTGTCCATTATATCCCAAAGGTAGGTCCATATAGACCTCTTCAAAAAGATCACCATTAAGAAAAACATTATTAACATCAAGTTGAGTCAGCTCCCAATTTTTAGAAGCTGCAAGAGCCAAAAGAACTTTGACAGTAACCAACTTATCAACAAGTGAAAAGGTCTCAACAAAATCAACTCCTTCTTGTTCCGTGTATCCTTTAACAACCAAACGAGCTTTATGTCTGTCAATCGATCCATCAGACCTGCATTTGATTTTACAAATCCATCGACAGCCAATGGAATGCTTACCAACCGGTAAAGGAACAACAGGCTAGGTGTTATTAAGCTCCATAGCATCCAATTCTGCTTTCATGGCCTCATGCCATAGAAGATACTTTACAGCCTGGTGATAAAATTGCGGCTCAATATGAGAAGAAACATTGAGAATAAAATGTTTGAAAGCAGGGAAAAGATTGGCATATGAGATATGTTTGGACAAAGGATATAGGACTTTGTCGGAGGAAGGTTCCAAGTCAAGTGTAGAACCTTGAGACACTAGGTTACAATGAAAATCCCTCAAGTAGGAGGGTTGTTTAACCGGCCTAGATGAACGTTGGATAGGAGCAACAACAACATCAGGAGGAGGGTGTTGCGCCTGTGAGGAACAAAAATCAATAGCATCGAGAGCAAGCCAAGGCAAAACCAAGTCAGGAAACGGATCCACTAACTCAGTTGTATGGATGACAGAATGAAAGGGCAAAACTATTTCATGGAACACTACATCTCGTGAGATAAAAATTTGTTTCGATTGTATGTCATAAAGCTTGTAAGCCTTCATGCCTGGGGGAAACCAAGAAAGACGCAAATGCGAGCACGGGGCTGGAACTTGGTACGATGTACAGAAAGTGTAGAGGCAAAAGCAAGACATCCAAAAACACGAAGATGAGTAGTCAACCTCTTTTTGAAATAGAAGCTCATATGGAGTTTTGTTGCCCAGAACATGAGAATGTGTCCTATGTATTAGAAAAGCCATTGTGAGAACATAATCAGTCCAAAAGGAAAGTGGAATCCTAGATTGAAAATATATGGCGCGAGCAACATTCAAGAGATGCTGATATTTCCGCTCAACCACAGAATTTTGTTGCGGCCTTTTATTGCAAGAAAATTGATGAAGAACTCCCTTATCATTAAAAAAATCAGCAAAAACAAGCTCCTTTGCATTGTCAGACCGAAACTCTTTGATATGCTTATCGAACTGAGTTGCAATGAGATTAAAAATTTGGGAATGGCAGTGGAAACATCATTTTTGTGTTTAAGCAAGAACAACCAAGTAAACCGAGTGCAATCATCAACTAAAGTTAAGAAATAACTATGTCCAGAATGAGATAACAAGTGATAACTGATAAGGACCCCAAATAGACGAATCATCAATGGCAGATTTGCCATTTGACGAGGAAGACGAATCAGGAAATGAAGAAGCCATAGACTCTAAACAAGGAAAGAAGAATCTAAGAAGAATTGAAGAAATAGACGAAAGAAAAATTATCGCTCTGATACCATATTGCGGAGGAAAAAGTGTTTGACTAGTGAGAAAAATATTATTCTCATTAATGTGAATAAAGAATACAAGCCAATATATATATAAAATAGAAGCGTGTGTTATAAGTTTGATAAAAAGCTTATGTTACAAGATTAATAAACTTAACTAACTAAGAGGATAAGTATTCCTAAAATTACAAAGCTTTTTATGAAAGAAGCTGTTCTTTCAAAAAACGACGTGTAAGTTCATGTCGCGTTTTGAAAGAAACGGCGCATCAGTGAACGACAAGAATTGTAGTCGTGCTTGGATAATTATTAACGACAAGTGGTTCTTTCAGTAAACGACGTTTAACTTAATGTCGTTTTGTGAAAGAACCGGTTCTTTCATGAAAGAATTTTTACCAAACGCCAAGAATTGTTTTCTTTTTTAATCCGTTTAAATATAATCTCTTTAAATACTGTAACGAAAAAATTAGAGAAATTGTATACTGCCCCGGTAAATCAGGTTTTTTTTTTTATCGGTTAAAAAACTTGACTTTACTATTATTACGTTGGCGTAGGTTGAAAAAAATTATTGATTAGACATAGTTTTGCGTGCCAAACTTCCCCTTATCCTCCTCCCTCCTCCATTAGGACCATTACCCAGCGAGTCAGACTCGGACCCTTTTCACGACCACATTTCTTCTCCGGTCATCTTCGTTCGCCTTCTCTCTCTCTCAAAGCTTTTCGTTTTCCCTTTTTTCCTTTCGCCATGACAGTTCGCTCGTCTACGAATCAAGGTTTTTTTCTTTATCCTCACTCTCTTGAATGATTCTTCCTCTCTTTGACAACGGAGTCAAAAACTCTGATCTTTTCGTTTTTTCGGATCTGAAAGTTCAATCTATTGATCTTTTTCTCATCTTCTGACTACATACACATCCAAAGTTCAAATTTTGGAAGATTTAGTTTGGAAGCCGACTGATTTATGATCTGACTGTGATCAATCTCTGATTCTTGTTTTGAAATTTTTATTTATGTAATTATTTATTTTTCAATGTTTGTTTTCATTTAAGAAATGTTAATTATTGATGCATAACAGATAATATTGACAAGAATGAGAGGAGTACTTATTTTGGTTTACCAGCACTGGATGTTTCACTTGCTTTTCCCCAAGCCACTCCAGCATCGGTTTTTCCTCCTTCCAGTAAGAATTTCTATTCATTCGAGAGTTGAGGAAATTTTCTATTATCTAATATGATATTTTATTGCCTAATTTTGTATTCTGAAAGTTATTGATTTAGCAGCTTGCAATTTTTTTTTTCTCTTTATTTACTGGGTTTTGTGTTTTTGTTTATGTGCTGGCCATGATTACAGCTTCAGATTACTACAACTACGATGATCTATTGAGTCCTGAGGAGAAAGCTGTAAGGATGAAAGTACGAGAGTGCATGGAAAAAGAAGTGGCGCCAATCATGGCAGAGGTATTCATCTTTTACTCGTACCCTTTTCTTTGCTGTTGTTATTCTTTTGTTTAGTATCCTTAATTTTCTATTCGTACCCTTTTTTTCTTGGTTTTTGCTAAACACTTCAGTCATCTGTAGTCTGTGTCTATAGTTATCTTGTTTATTGGATTTTCTTTTAGAAAAAAAGGAGATAGATACTGAATTATTTTGTTCAGTACTGGGAGAAAGCAGAGTTTCCATTTGAAGTTATTCCAAAGCTTGGTGCCTTGCGCGTTGCCGGTGGCACGATCAAGGGTTATGGCTGTCCTGGTCTTTCTCTTACGGGAAGCGCCATTGCGACTGCAGAAATGGCTAGAGTTGACGCTAGCTGTTCGACTTTCATCCTGGTCCATTCTTCGCTAGCGATGTTGACCATCGGTTAGATCTAGTCATCTTCTACTTTTATTTACTTGTTAGTTGATGGATGTTTCTATCTATATACGGCGATGATTTTTGTTTAACTCCTCTGCACTGTCACGAATAGCTTTGTGTGGATCGGAGGCGCAAAAGGAGAAATATTTACCTTCTTTGTCACAATTAAAAACTGTGGCTTGCTGGGTAAGATGCTCCCTTCTTCTAGTTATTCTATGGTTTTAGGATATGTGATTGATTAATGCTTCTGTCAAGTGGTCTAAAATTGAAGGTACTAAATTATGCTTCTCCATGTAGGCTTTGACCGAGCCTGATTATGGAAGTGATGCAAGTTCTTTGAGAACAACTGCAACAAAGGTTAATATCTCTTCACTTGACTTCCATTTTTGTTTTTGGTTTTTCTCGTTTTTGTGCCTCATTTCCTATAAATTCTTGCTTTGGCATTGGGATGATCAGGTGAAAGGAGGTTGGATCCTTGATGGCCAAAAGCGCTGGATAGGAAACAGCACATTTGCTGATGTGTTGGTTATTTTTGCTCGGAACACAACAACAAATCAGATAAATGGGTATGCAATGCAAGACATTAACATGATTGGCGAAAGGCTCTAATTTCAAACTCGGATGCACAAAGTAGGCTCGGGGGATTTCTGGATATCAAAAAAAAAAAAAAAAAAGACAAAACCGTGATTGCATCTGCTTTCATATTAGTAGGACAGTTGTTCTTACTTTTACAGGTGTCCCCCTGCACTTAGGTGCTTGTGAAACAGAAAATAGCCAAACATGCCAAATGTGTTGCTGTTTTAGAAAGTCGTGTTGATTTATTAACATCAATTAACTTCTTCCCCTTTTCCTATCCTTGGATCATACTGAAAAAGGAAACTCCTCTGTTGTCCAGTAAGTTCATAAGAGTAGGCATCAATATTAGAGTAAAGTACCCTCCTTCAAACAAAAAAAAAAAAAAAAATAATAATAATAATAAATAAATAAATAAATAAAAATTAGAGTAAAGTCCTACAACTGATCGCAGAAACTGAACTGTTCAGTTTTTAGTTTTGATTGCTCTTTCAAGAATACATTCAAGACTCTTGTGCCCTTAAATAACATAAGTGACTTTTCATTTGGGTTACAGTAAGAAAAATCTATGCTTGTTATAACAACTCCTATTAGATATTTATTTAGTTTGTGCAAGAAGTCAATATTGTTATTGGATGGCTCTTTATTACATGCTGAATGCTTTTCTTTCTGCTTCAGATACCTTGTAAAGAAAAATGATCCCGGATTAAAAGCAACCAAAATTGAAAATAAAATTGGTTTGAGGATGGTTCAGAATGGAGATATTCTCTTGAACAAAGTGTTTGTTTCTGATGAGGACAGGTTACCTGGTGTTAATTCTTTTCAGGATACAAGCAAGGTATACTATATATATGGTTTCATCAGATGATGCCCCTTTCTGTTTGTGTTCATGCATTGTATGTTTGGAGACGTATGTGAATGTATTGAATTTGTAGTTGCGTATTCTATATGTTCTGCTCTTTTAAATTCCAGGAAACTGGATGTGGCATGTGCTTTTTTATTCTCTTCTCGAGTGCGTATGGAGACATTAGGGGAAAATGTATCCCCAGTCGCATGATTTGCAATCAAACATTAGAACTCTTAACTGAACAATAATTTATTCAAGCAAACAACACAGTGCAGGTTTTTCTCTTACTTGTCAAAGGAGAAGAGGCAGTTTCTTTGTTTTTCGCTTCTCATTTGTGCACGAATGTGTGGAAAGTGCCGATTGCTCGTTTTGCAGATTTCAATCCCTGCAATTAAATATATGTTGTATTGAAATACATTTCTAATCATTACCGTGTCAAAACAGGTTCTTGCTGTTTCACGTGTTATGGTTGCTTGGCAACCTATCGGTATATCCATGGGTGTCTATGACATGTGTCACAGGTATCAAAACCTGCACTCCTCGTTCAGACATGTTTAAGTTTTCAAAACAACAATTCACTGATCTCTGAATTGATTACAAGGTATCTGAAGGAGAGGAAGCAATTTGGAGCACCACTGGCAGCTTTTCAAATCAATCAAGAGAAGCTTATACGTATGCTGGCCAATGTTCAAGCAATGGTCCTAATGGGTTGGCGGCTTTGCAAGTTGTACGAGAATGGTAAAATGACTACAGGTCAAGCTAGCTTGGGGAAGGTGAGTTTCCAAATTTTAGTACTCTGCCATGCTCTGTTGATTGCCAATGTATATGTCTTAAACATGTGTACTCTTCAGTCTTGGATCACCTTGAAGGCAAGGGAAACTGTTGCACTTGGACGGGAGTTGCTCGGTGGAAATGGAATCTTAGCTGATTTTCTAGTGGCGAAGGTTTTCCTTTCTCGTCTCTTTTTCTAGTGTTTGTACCTTATAAAATTATTTCTTCATCTTTGACATTGCCTTTCTTGATTCACTTCGCAGGCATTCTGTGATTTGGAACCCATATACACGTATGAAGGCACGTATGAAATCAACAGCTTGGTGGCAGGTAGAGAAGTTACTGGCTTTGCCAGCTTCAAGCCATCTGCATCAAGCCAACGGAGCCGTCTGTGACAATGTAAACTTTCTGAATCCCAACTCCAGGTGGAAAGACATTTAATCCATTGCTAATGGAGTTGGCTATTAAAGTATGGTCGATGTTAAAATGTCATAAAAATTATAGTTTGAATAAGTTACACAAACTTTGTTATGAATAAAAATAACTAAAATGAAAAGGTCATTTCAGTTTTTCCTTCTAGCATTGAGTAATATAAATGACCCCTAGGAAAGTAGTAGGGCTTACCAAACGCACGTGAATTTGCATGTCAATAAGGATGTCAACGTCGGCTATGTCTATTGGGCTGGCATGAAGCCCGAAGTGAAAGTAAAAATTGCACTACGTGGCAAATTTACAAGGATGAAGTTAAGAGGCCTCCATATGAGAGAGAAAAAACTGTCGGTCGTTTTTTTAAAGTCTAAATACACTGTCCATTAGCTTCTTGTTGTTCGCCATATCAACGATGCCGGTAGAATTCATTAAACATCTAAGCTAGGAACTCCGGCTAATTACAGGGGACTCTTGATGATGCACCAACTCAAAAGAGATTTTCAACTACTTCTTCAAAATTACTCTCTTTTTTTTTTTTTTCCCCTCTTTGGGCTGTGTTGTTCTGTGTATCACAACCGGTGTTAGGGTTTAGTCTGCTGCGCCAGAGAGGAATTTCTTTCCCGGAATAGAGATCTAGAAAGGAGGCATTCTCCGTGGTCAGCAGAGATGCGCGGTGACATGTGGTTCTCTCATGTCGGAGGCCCACTTCCTCTCCAAATCTCCTTTGCTTTGCCAGCAATGTTGCAGCTTTCCCGCCCATTCTCTGGGCTGGTCGACTCGTCACCGAAGTTTCGTCGTTGTCAATTAGGTTTCACCTGTTTTAGTTTTTGTGTTTGTCAAATAAAAATGGTGATATCTTCACTCCTTATATTTAGTGTATTTAGTGCCTTTTACTCATTGAATTGAACGCAATTAGGTTGTACCAATAAAATCGGTCTTAATTAAGAATTGTCTTGTACTACAAAATCAGTCGCATTATCAGTCACATTGTACTACTATTTAGTATAAATGAAATTTCTCTTTCAACGACAACAAGAATTGTCTTGTACTATAAAATCAGGCACATTGTACTACTATTTAGTATAAATGAAATTTCTCTCTCAACAACAACACTCAACACTAAAAAAAAATAATAATAACACTAGTTCACTAAAAGAGTACTTTTTCAGAATTTAGTAACAAAATGTCAAACAAATACATTTATGTGTATATAATACTAATAATTTCCATTCGATATAGTTTTGAAGAAAATACACTTTTGAGTTGTGCCCAATCCCAACAAGAAACAATAATCCGGATAACAATCAAGCCCTACACCATTTTCAGAGCCAAAAAAAAAAAAAAAAAATCAAGCCCTAACAGTTCACAGTTAACATTTGGTTTTATTTCTCCAATCTGACGTTAGAAATAGATATTTCAAAATTTTAAGAATTTCCTCTCATACATATATGAATATATTCATACAAATATACACACTATACTCAACCTATATATATATAGTCAGAGCAAAACAGAGTCCAATTTCTCCTATCTCTCTTCTTCTCAGCTTCTCTCCAAACCCCAAGTCCTGAGCCTGAGCTGAAGCTGAGCTGCCGTCGCCAAGAACCTGACGTTCTGCGCCGGCCTCAGCACCTCCATCACCTTCAGCGCCGTGCTCATCCTCAGCGAATCCGCCGCCGTCACCACCGTCTCCAGTGCCGTCCTTAGCGTCGCGATCGCCACGTCCGCGCCGGCGATTTCGCCGTCGACCTGCCGTGTGCAGCGCCTGGAGATGTCGAGCAACGGCGGCGCCGCCACGCTCTCCTGGATCTTTGCGAGCTCGTCGTTGAGCGCCCGCTCCTCCGACTTCGTCTCCTGGACCAGCCGGCCAATGCTCCGCCTCTGATCGTCCGTCAGGTCGTCGATCGAGTCGTTGACGAGTCGGAAGGCGAGGCCGGGCTTGAAACCGCCGATCCAGAGGAAGGCGTGTTCGAGAGAGGTGAACCAGGTGGGAGAGAGGACGAGGAAGATGTTCCGCTCGGCGATCTTGGATTTCTCGTCGTAGTACTGCTGGTAATGCGCGAGGATTCGATATACGAGGTCTCTGAGATCGTCGTCCGGAGAATCGCGGCACGAGAGGAGCTCATCAAGGTAGTGCTCTTGGCGAACGAGCCAGCCTTCCAGAAACCTCTCGAAGGAACCGGCATTGCCTCCGCTAGTCGCGCCTGACGAATGCTTTCTCATAGAAATCAGGAGGAACCAAAGAATTACAGAGCGATCGATCTCAGAGACTGAGAAAAGAGGAGAGAGAATCCTTTATATAGGGATTGGGTATAAGAAAATCCGTGGTCTTTTTTTTTCTTTTAGGTTTTTGCTTAGTGGGAAAGTAATCTCAGGGGATGCTTCGAGAGGAAGGTTGAGATGTAACAATGGAATTGGAGCAGAGGAGAGAGAAGACGCGTGTGAAGATGAGGAGGAGCGAGAGCGACGCCATTACAGCTTTCCGGAGTTTGTGAGAGCGCAGGCAAAGCTGGATAGATGAGAGATGCGAGATGAGCGACGAGCAAGCAGCCGTCCTCTCCCTTTTGCCATCTCCCTCCAATAATCTCACTCTCTCTCTCTAAATATTGAGACCACCGACTGGGGAAACATGCAGCGAAAGCCGAAACAGAGGGAATTTGGAACGACGGAGGGAAAGTTTTTGAGTTTTTGTTGTTCGGTGCGGTTCGTTTTGTCGTTTATGTGTGTGAAGTATGGAAAGCACGTTTTCATTTTTATCTTTGTTTTAGTTCTCGTTAGCGAATTGCAATTTGACAAAAGTCTTTTCAGGAAGATAATATCGCAACATCTACCTGGACCCTAAATATATCTATATTCTATTATCTTAAAATCGCCGCCGGAAAATAGAAAACGACAATGGTTGTAGTGGCCATGTCACTGCGTTTCCGAGAGATGGAAGTTCGGTGCGTTTTGTCGGTTAGCATGAGGTGGACGAAAAGGTACATTGCTTTCGATTGGCCCCTTAAAAGTTAAGAAAGTGTGAGCGCAAGTTCTCGAAGGATTATTTAGCTGGATGACTTCTAGCCAAAGCTATTAGCTGGATGAACATGGGCTAATATGAATTTTTCTAATAGCAACTTTGTCGAAAATTTATTTATGCATTATATTTTTGCTGATATATAAGAAATTATATGTTTGTGTGTGTGTGTATATGAATATGAATATCAAGCAGGCTGACGTCTGTGAAGTGGGGAGGCCATCTAGTACTACTGGGTAATAGTTTTTTAGACGGCTCGCGAATAAGTTCAAACTTAATGGTGTCATTAGAGAAATTATATTGCGTTACTTTATCATAATATAAATATGATATTCAAGGTAATCGCTGCAAATACGGAGAGTAACTTGGCAAATATAAATTACAAGAAAAATGCTCCCGATGCTCAGCCACAACGAAACGACGCTGATGTTCGTGTCACTCAGCCAGAACCAAAGTTCACAGGCAGTTTGCTCGCGACGAGGAAGAAGACAACACTTGTGTTGATGACGAAGTTGGTGACGACGCAGACGACAAAGCCGACCATCCGATTCTCGGCGAGGGTTTTTACACGTAATTGAAGCACTTCGATTGTGAAGGCTGATGTTGGGTTTTGTTCTTTTTTGCCAAGAATGTTTGGATTTGTTGTTCTTTGATCTGATTGTGATTTTTGGATTTTCCTCCTTAAGAGTGTGCACATTGAGATTGAACGTTCTTTTATTTTTGAAAATTTTAAAATTTTGGCGTTACTTATCTAGGACATGTTTGTCATTTTTGCGATCAAAAAATGGAATTTAGACCGTCACAAAATGTTCAAACTTGCACTAAATAAATCTAAATCATAGGACGTAAAAATATATAAATTTCTCCGTACAATATAATGTCAAGTTTACTGTACCATATGCGTCCCCTAAAAAAAAAAAAAAAAGGTACCATTACCATAAGCGTTAAGTTTACTATTAACATTACACGTGTGTTGATAAATATAGGAGTTTATCTCAACTTTTAGCAAAGAAACAAAATTATACAACAGATTCGGTCTGTCATTATAACTTGTGTGCATTTCCGAGAGAGAGAAAAAAAAGTATTTTGTTGTACGGTAATTGTTACGCAACTGGGGGACGTCTATTATAGTATTACACGAGTCGAGCTGTGCAATAACTGGCAAAATGTCTGAAAGGAAAATAGAAAGCACGGGCAAAAGCACAAAATAGGTGGAATCGTGAATATAGAAAACATCTTTCTTCGCTAGTAAAACATATTAGGAGAAAAAAAAAATACATGAACTTCATTATAAACCCTCTCTTCTCGCAGAGTAAACATACAAGTAGAACTCATGCTAGTATAGTAATTCTGGACTAACCAATAACTTTTTTTTTTTTTTTTGGTGATTAGGATTGTTACGTTTTTAATACATAAACACTACCTTTACTTAAAGCAAAGTAAGTAGAAAGATCCATCTTTGCTTTTTCCTTACAAGAATAAAATCCGACTTCTCACAATAACTTATGCATTTATTTTTTCTGCAAAGTGGTTTTTTACACTTTTACCAAATTCTATCGCTCAATTCTTTTCTGTACAAAGTCCCTTGTGTATTACAAAAGCAAGTCTAACGTGGGCCAAATCGAATTCGTCTTGTTGCTGGATTTGCAATCAAAGTCAACGTAAGATTAAAAAATCACAATAACAAGTCGATGATACATTATGTAACTTCTCCAAATACTTCCTTCAAAAGGTTAAAGGGAGTTTTACAGGAGGCCGCACAAGCGAGGTCTAGAACAAAACTGCCTTCCATTAGCTTTCACGACTGCCATTACTCCGGCTGCCACTCCGGCCCACAGTACCGAAGACACAAACTGTTGTGCATTTCGACCCACTACAGAACAGACAAGAAAGCCGAGTAATTTAACTCTTCAGTGAAGCTCAAATAACAAATCTATGCCATGTTTATTTTACCGATTCGAGCTTAAAATTCGAGTTTTATTACAGTAAAAAGCTCTCAGAAACAATCACATCTAACTTCTTTGCTACAGTAAAAAACTCTCATAAAATCATATCTCAACTCAAATTAAAAATTCAAATCAGCGAAATAATTAAGAATCTAGATTACGAGTTTACGAACCCCAATACCTTGCTGAAATGTTAAGGATGTTAGTGTCAAACCTCCAACAACCAAAGCTGATGCTACTGGGAGATACTGCAATGTTTCAGTTTATTCATCAAAACCTCATACGAAACGATTCGCTTAAACTGTTTATAAGCTGTTTACAGGGATTGCTTGTATTGCTAGCATCTGAAAAACAAAAGCTAAAAACAGGCAACAATGATCTTGGCTGCATGTTAAGTATGTTCCTTCTCCTTGTTTGAAGTATGGAGATTTATTCTTTGCTGAAAATATTTCTAAAGCTATGATTGACTCGAATAGACGTGCCTAAAAATTTTTAAAAAAGATCGGGTCCCTAGTACAATCCGAAAAAAAAAATATTCTCATTCGCTACCAAACACCAAGAGACAGAATTACACCTTGAGGCACCTCTTGACAAGATTTTTCATTGAAGAAACAGAACAGAAGAGGGAAAACGAAAACAAAAGACAAAGTACTTACAGACAGTGTCTCAAAACCATTCAGCTGGAAGGGAGAAGGGCCATTTCTGTTGATGTTGTATCGGCCACTAATGAGATCCATTGCATCCTGAATAGATGGAAAAAAGAAAAAATCTATTTAACCCAGTCTGCATTCTGTAGTGGTTACTGGATTTCATTCTGAGAAGATGAGAAACATCTTGCCTGCCGAATCCCATCATGGAAATTATTCAGATAATATCTGGACAGTGCACTCATCCCATCTTTAATTAGTCCACCTAGAGTCTGTTTTCCATATCTGCAGTATTGTGAATCCAGAATGTATTACAAAATGGATAAAATTATACACACAATGTTCAAAGAAACAAGTTGAATCATATTTACCTAACCAGGTCCCCCTTTAGAGCATGAGTCCCAGCATATTCAAGGCTTATCTCATCACCTTGCTCAGCCCACACTAAAGCAAGCCACAAAGAGTTCAGAATTAGTATGAAACAACTCTGGATTCAACAAGAAAATAGAACTTATAAATGAGGGACTCCATACTTGTTCTAAATTTCCCATAATCCTCAGGAAACATAGAAATGCACTCAGAAGAATTAAGTACTCCCATTCTCTGCAACTGTAGATTTAAAGACTTCTGGGCCAAGTAACTCTGCAGAAACGAAAAGTGGAGGCTGCTTAATACTGTTATCAGGAAACAAGAGCACTTCATGACTTCAAAACAACATCGGTAGATTCAGTACTGTGATATAGAAACAAAAAAAAATTTATATTGAAAACCTGGGTGACATTTGTTCTATCAAGACAATCGATGCAATTAGATCTAATAATCCCTTTCTGCTCTACTAAAATGTTTCCTTCCATGTCCGCGAGGAAGTATCTGCTCAGCTGGAACAGTAATGATTAAAAACGGTATAACAGATGCCTGTATACCTGGAGTTCGGCATACTTATTCAACAGAGTTTTGCACAAAAATGCATTCAATTTTCTCAATTACCCTTGCTTTTCAAAATCCTCTGCGATTTGATCACATAGAAAGCGTAGATTATCAAAGTTTGAACTTCCACATATATGATGAAAATCAAATGAGATATATCTGCAATAAAAACAAATAAAAGAAATAAACAAGTTTTCAGCAAAAAAAAAACAAAAAACAAAAAAGGTGTAAATTTTCAATTTATTCATAAAATCGAGATCCATGGCAAAGGTTTGCCACACCAAACATACGACTAGAAGAGGCACAAAATAACAGCTTCTGTAGGACGTAACTATCTAAAAGGAGGATTTCTATCAAAAAATAATTATATCTAAAAGGAAGATAAATAAATTTTTATTTAAAATAAGTTGTGCGATTGGTATAATTGTAAAAGAGTAAGAATTTTCACCTCACATCTGGCAGTTTCTCCATTTCAGAAGCAAATGCTGCACTTAACTGACCTTCATCACCTTGCTACAAGTGGAGAATGAAGATAATTATTTGAAAGTTAGAAATAACATATAACACTAACTCTGGCATAATCAAGATAAACTTGAATAGGCAAATGCAACTATCCAAACAAAATCACTATAAAGCATCTTTCTAACAGATCTCAGAAAGCCAACACAGTGTTTTCGAAGACTTTTGACAAAAAAGGTTCTAAAGAATAGATAGGAACACCAATATATATAGACAAGCCAGGTTTAAAGTGAAAATCCAAAGATAAAGAGAACCTCACTTTATCAGTTAGGTCTAACGCTATTGTCTCTCCGTACCGTTGTACAAGATCATGAAAATGACGTTCCACAACCTCTGACTGCAGGAAGGGGGCACATAAATAAGTAGTTAAATATTAAAATGCAATTAATATAATAGGAAGGAATTGCATTATCCTTATAAAATAATGAAAAAAAAAAAATCATGTTAGAGCAAGAGGATACCGTCTGCTCATGGTTAATAACTCTGAGTTGTGGTTTATAGCTCAAGTCAACTATTTGCTCCCAAAGAAGTGGAATTGAGCCTCGAATCTGAAAAAGAATGCAGTTGAACAAATATGTCTTCTGTATGGTGTTAATTTATAGGGAAATCAATGTTGTGTATTTAATTATGCAAGTTCACAGTTTGGTAGTTTAGGTGAACAAATAACAAGGACATGTCCTTTACTCCTTTAAGCATAAAATTCAGAATCCCCTCACAGATAGTCTAGTGAACATGTAGATGTTGACCATATATATTTTCCTGTACTTGTCAGTAGGTATATTAGATGTAAGGACCACCAACTTAGTAAAATAATGCAATAACTAATTCTCCATGTTTAGACACTGCACAGAATCATTATAAGATTCCATCAGGTATGCTACAAATACCTGCAGCAATGAGGATCTCAGACCATTAACTTCCACTACTTGCTCGGTTTCAATAAAATTAGCTACATCTCCTTCAAGGTTGGCTCCTCTTCTCCACATTCTTGTTCCTACTCACCACGTTACACTATCACTATTAGAGATTACAAAACAGCATTATAACAGTGAGTATATGAAGTAAAGAACCGGTCATCCAAAAAAGATTATACCTAGACGCCTTGTACACCTCCTTGAAACTAGTGTGAGCGTGGCAGGTGACTCTTTTAGCTTCAGCTGTGCAGTCTGAAAGCTTAAACCTAGGTTAACTGAAAACACCATGCAGTTCTTGAATTGAATATCTGATTTTATTTACTTCAGTTCACCATTCCTCTTGAATAATGTATATCCATAGATACACCGGGAGATATTTATGGATTAAACATAACAGGTTAGAAGCTTAAGGATATTTCCTTGTATCATGGGAATGATGAACTCATCAAGCTGCCACCAAAAAGAGAAAAAGAAAATCAGGGGACAAAAATGATGGATCGAAATGATAATAGAATCAACGAGCAAAATTACATTTAATCTAAGCGAAGACACTGACCTTTTGCTCAATAAGTTGATCCAACAGATTTTTGTTCCAAACAAATCGAGGATCAGCCTGAAACGAAACACCAGTGCAATGTCTAGGCATGAATGACAGATAATGTCATAGACAAGCAATCAACATTTGAAAGAGATAGGATGAGCCAGAGATAAAACAGAGATAAGCAGCCTGAGACTGTAGAAAATAAAAGAAAAGAAGAAAGAATGATGAAATAAAAACTACTTTACGCGCCAATCAATGCTAACAAAAGGGGAAAGGATAATCGTTTGAGAACAACTGGATGGCCAAAGAACAATACAATCAAAGATAACAAGCCTTAAAGAAACTTCATTTGTTTGTTAAACAAATGACCTTTCGAATACGCAATGAGAAGGCATCTAAGTTGATAAATTCGAGCTTCAAAAATAGGATATGGAATATTCACGACCAATCAACTTTGACAATGGATTACACTCAACGTAAAATTCTGATGATGTTTACGATATGCCAACTAACCTGCTTCCAAATGGGTTTAGTTATCCAACCTTCAGCTAACTGCCATCTTCTCTGCAGGCTGAAAAGAAAAGTATCAAGTTTATTTTAATAAATAAGAAATTTGAGGGCAGACACGTTCAAAGTTGAAAACAGAAGCCAGAAATTACTAAGGACCATTGTAATAAAAGTTCCAACTACTTAAAACAGCATGCTGCAACATTTAAGTTCTTTTTAGGTTGTAGCTAAGTGAAAGGAACAAGAATATACTTCAATGTTATATCCGTTTCATAAGAATAATAAAGCCCTGGAGTTGATTCCACTGTTTTCAAGAGAGTCAAGAAGTGCGCCTCGTCTCTTTTCTGTCAATCACATTACAAAAATAGTTTAGGCAAGAGCGTTTTGAACTTCTGTAGGGTAAAAGAAGCAAAAAAAACTCAAGGGCATTTTGAACTTCTGTAGGATAAAAGAAGCAAAAAACTTACTTCCTGTGAAGTTGACTGTTTCAAAACCTCATTGCAGGACAAAAAGTTCATAGACGTCACTCCATATACTGGGAAACCAAGAAAATTCCCAACTTCCTTCCTTGAAGTTATCACGATAATATAAGTTCCTGCACCAAAAACCACACCAAATCAAGCACAAAAATCCCTCCCTCTAACATTTATCAGTACATGCAATGTTATTTATATAATTTGAAACATTATAGACCATTAGTTACCTCAATTAAATTGACAAAACTGCACAAAAACAGGGTCGTAGTTTAACTCGATAAAAATATATTGGAAAGTCCGAGAGTAGGAACTGTCAGGTTTTACTACAAGTAGAAATTGTTGTTCAAGTTGTTGAATTAATTTTTCAACAGAATCTACGAGTTTCAACGTTAAAAATTTATAAATGCACGATACAGAATTGCTCCCGATCATAGATCAAACCATTGAAAAATTAACCCAACGGCTAAAATAGTAGCTCCTACTTGTAGTGAAAATGGACGGCTCAAGTAGAAATTTCCTAACATATTTTTGTAAGCTAAAAATTTAAACCTTAAAGGAAAAGGGACATTGCAAAAATTCGAGTAAGAGGCTCATTAAGTAGTGCCAACCAAGCAAATACCTTTGAGCAATCTGATTGTTCCAACAACCCCGTATATGGTCGAGACTTTGGATGGACTTGGAGCGTTAGTATCATCTGTTACATAACTTGCAAATTACGGAACTATAAATCTCATTTAAAGAAAAAAAAAAATGAACACAAAAAGTTCTTCATTGGCTTATAAGTTCTGCACTCTCTGGCTCCTAGGCAAAGACCCAATACCAAAATTTTGTAAAATTTTCCCATGGAATTGCTATAAGTAAGCATTTAATCAGTTAAATTTATGAAACAACGAGGCCTGAGTAATTCCGAGTATAATTTGGAAGAGTTAACCAAAAAAATAAATAAACAATACAAAGTACCATCATCAAGTGGCTCAATGTTTCCGTCATGGCGATCGATCGAGAAACCATGACTTGGAGATTCCATGGATTTGATAACGAACTTTTCCTGGAATTCCTGCAATTCCAACTTCTCATAGAGCTTGAATCTACCTTTTGCGGGCGATCCGGTTTCCATTTCCCACGAAAATCACAACATCCAAAAGAAAACTTTTTTGAAGAAGAGAAGACGAAAACCTAGAAATATGCTGAAGAATTTGATCAACGGAAAAGAGAGAGATGCCAGACTCAATATTGTGAATACTCGTCAAGTTTAACGGATTATTATTCGTTAAAAAAAAAAAAAAAAAACGGATTTTATTATTATTATTATTATTAGTTTTTCAGATCTTCCGAGATGTATTTTCTTTTCTTTTCTTTTTCTTTCTAGTTTCTTTTATCGTGTTGCCCTGATGATTTCCCACTTATTCACGATTTGGCCCATAGTTTTAACGCAAAATGACAACCCAACAATGATTATATTTTTGTCTCTACGCATTAGCAATTGTGAGGTATCTGCATCAGATAACAATTATAATTTAAGGATGGCGATTCGTGTTAATGGATTATATTTGTGTTAATATGTTATTAATCGTATTAAAAAATATTTTAAACATTATATGTTTATTAAATGTGTTAAAAATATTAATTTAAATATAATTTATTTATTAATCGTATTAATTGTGTTAATTTATATAACTCATTTAAATTAATATATTAAATAAATAATTGATATAATAATGACTTATTTAACACAGTCATGATAAGTTTAATATGTTTATTGGTCAATTTATCTTTTCTTTTCAAAAAAATAAATGAATTTTAATTACAAATATTAAAATTCACACTATTTGTATTTAATATGTCATATAAACATTCATATTATATCACATATCATTAGATTGCAGATGACACATATAATTAATTGTGTCAATTCGTGTCACTCTGTGTTAAGAGATCAACCATAATCTAATCCATTTTATTAATTGTGTTAATCGTGTCAACCTAATTATAATACGAATTTATTTATTAATCGTGTTAATCATATTAACCTGATTATAATACAAATCAATTTATAATAAAATCAAACTTATTAATTTCATGTGAATTTTTAATTGTGTCGTCGTCGTATCGCTACATAAATTGCCCACCGTAAACTATATGCTGTAGTTCTATCTTTATCCTGGTAAACTACAAACAAAATATTAGAGAAGCTAAGACTGGAACGTGAAACGTTCAGTTTGGAAAAAATGATACTCCATTCTACTCCGTCCCAATTTGCCTTTTTCTTCTTTTTGATATACCAAAATCCTAGGGGAATTATGGGTAGGTTGATGAAGAGAAAAATATTTTATTGAGGATTCTGTTCTAAATCATAAAATATGAGAGAAAGTACTCTTTAAAAGTATATGAATTAGAATTTCTATCATTTACTTTTAATTAATAACCTTTTTAATCAAATAACTATACTAGTAAAAGAATATTAACAAAAAATAAGTGGTAAAAATCTAGACTCATACACTCTTAAGAGTAAATTCTGTAATTTCTCTAAAAGAAATATGTAGAAGGTATGTTTTTCTTTTTTCATTTTAATATGATTTTGGTTAGATTCTAATATTTAGAAATATGTTATGGTCTGTTTAGTTCATAGATTCAGAATCATGATTTATTATTCTGATTTTTGAAATTTAAATTTTTTATGAGAAAAAAATACTGTAGAGAACCATAAACCATGATTTAGAACTAGAGACAAATACATGAAATAAACATCCCATTAGTCTTCATGTTATACCTTTTATCCAATCATAAAGTCGTTTCGTTCATAGATCACAATTTCTTAAAATAATGTTTGTATTTTTTAGTGAAGTGACATAAATTATATTTTGTATTTAAGTTTTTAATGCAATTATCTTCTGAACTTGTCGTGACTTAGTAAATTATTTTTAAAATTTTTAATTTTGACAATCAACAACTTATAAATTTATTGTAATATGTCTTATTTTATTAAATTGTGGTAAAAACTCCCCAACTTTGTAAATTGCTGATTTTTTTCCCATATATTCTTTAATGTATCAATAATCAGTCGAACTTTGGTTTTTTCCTTATATTATTTACCAAAAAAAAAACAAAAATTAATAGATCTTCCCACGAAGAAGAGAAATGGAACTCGTCCAGATGGCTAGCAAGAAAGTCACTCCTTTACCCCAACTGCAGCTATTAACCGAACTCACAAGCGAGCTAAAACTGTTATTATTAGGAGCGAGCGTGGTGCCATAAGTACGGTTAAAGATATTTGTTTAATCACAATCGGAAAATTGTTATTATTAGGAGTGAGCGTGGTCCCTGTTTATTTTACCTATTTGAGTTTAGAATTTGAGTTTTGTTATAGTAAAATTTTTTAAAAACAATCATATTTAACTTTTTTACTACAATAAAAAATTATTATATAAAGACATATCTCAACTCAAATTAAAAATTCGAATCAACAAACTAAACGACATCAACATTTAATGTTTTCTTCTCGCTTATTGGTGAATATTGATAGTGTAATAATAAATAAGAAAAGGCTAATTTGCTTGCTAAGAAATCGGTGAATGCTGGTAGTGTAATAATAATAATAATAATAAACGTTTAATTTACTTACTGAAAAAATGGAATATTTCTTCCAAAACTGTCGCCAAGAAAAGTTAGAAAACTGGAGGACACTTATATAAAAAGAAACTACAAGAAATATTCAATATTTGCTTTCGAAATTGATTTTTTTTCCCCTTGATGAAGCCTTAGAAATACATGTTGGTCGTTAAAGTGAGGTCCTTTTGTTCAAGAGTTTGTCGTATGCATGCAAATGAAAATATTTGCAATGGTAAAAACTACCAAAACAGTGGAAAAGGAGCGTAGACATGCCTAGACAACATTTTTCTACTTTTAAGATGCACTTCGTTAGATTGGAATAATTTTCTCAGTTCTATTAATGAAGATCGCAAACAAAGTTGCAAGTCTAAGATTCACTATTCCTTTTAGCTCAGTAAATCGAAATGATTTGGACTGCCTAAACCATAGCAAAACCATCCCCTATTGACCAATGCCATATATGAAAACGACCAACAAACAGGTCAAAACTCCAACGCCATTTACTTCTTGAACAAACTACCAAGTTCACCCTTCTCATTCATAGATGTCAGAATATCACAACCTCCAACCAATTCTCCACCAACAAATATCTGAGGGAAAGTAGGCCAGTTGCTGTACCTCTTCAGCGTCTCCCTTAATCCGAAATTATGCTCGTCATCAAGCACATCGACACTCTCATAATCCACGCCTTCACTTTCGAGGATGCCAATAACCCTCTGTGAGAATCCACAAAGTGGTGCACTTCTTGAACCCTTAATGAAAGCCACCACTTTGTTCTCCTTTACCAACCGATCAATGAGTTCCTCCATTGGTAGAGTCAGTTGGACGTGGCGGCCTGGTGTGAGCCGTAGATCAGCCTTCTTCTTCGGTGCCTGTCGCACCCAAGTTGTATTCCCTGATGCATTACCTGGAGGTACCTTTCCAGTGGCTTTAATATGCTCCTCCATCCATGATTTCCAAGCCTGAGTTAGGGCTGTTTTATCCGGTTCATCTACTACACCAACCTGTAGTAAAATTTGCACATTACCATAAAAAATTAGCTGAGTTTATGACTTAATATCTCCATCATCATACTATAACGGAGAAATGTATATTGGTTCTTACGGATGACCTTATTCTTCTTCCTCTACAAAAGTTAATCTTTCCTCTCATTATATCGAAAGACACAAACCCACATATCCCACGTAAAAATACCCCCATGTGATTACTACTAAACAGAATGCGTGAAGTATCACCTGTTTTCTTTTATACATTGTGAATCACTGGCAAGAGAGATAATTTTTCCTCCTGTGGTCAAGTTGCATCAAAATCAGAACTCAAAAGACACGATGAAATCAACTTTTTGGAGACACGAGTTTGAGAGAATATTGGAGTATGCTTCCTTGTGGAAGCACTAAGAGCTTGTTTTGACACTTGGTAGGAAGGAAAAGTGGATGGAGGGAGAGGGATGCGGGGATTAGTGAAATAATTTAGGACTCGTGATTGTTTGGTAGGAGAGAGAAAAGGATGAAATATATTGGGGTGGGGATTTCAAATCCTTCAAACAGTTATAGGGAGAGATTAGGGGAGAGAATCCAAACCAAACACAATAAGAAAGACATTCCTCTCCTTTCCTCTCCATTTTCCACAACTAGGATATATATCTTTCTTTCCAGTTTATTTTCCTTCCTTCTCACGAAACAAAGCCTAAATGATTATAAAACCATCAATTTCATTAACATTATGATCATCGTCAATTTGTCTCTCAAAGCCATGGAATAAAACATTTGATTGTAGCAAGTCAATAACTACTAATCTACACGAGAAAATAGAGAAAGTTAAAAGGGGAACAAGGAACAAACACTTTTGGAAATATAAATTAAACAAACAATCAAAATCCAGTACTCATGGACTGTTCAAAACTTAAAACACATCCTTTGTTCATATCAGTTTCCGCATCACTAACAGTCTTTCATCACCGAAATTTGGACCAAGCTTTGAGCTAGTCCCAGAATCAAACCGGTCAAAATTCAAAACAGCATTTCGAGTGAAGCAAGTATTCCATTGTTGACCTTATCTTCTATACATGTAATTGTTTTATGGTTTTATCTTGGCAAAGAATTAAGAGTTTGCGTAAGAGCTATACCATCCCAAAATCAGCAGATCAAAGTCACAACAGCAAAACATTATGTTTATAGCTCATGCAATATTCATAATTAACTGCCTAGTATATTAACTATTAAACCATATTAGGATGATAAAATTTTCATAATTGAATACAAGATTGACAACCTAAAAATCTTACCAAGAAAGAGAACACTCGCGGCAATGTTCCTGGATAGTCCGACGAAAAAAAAAAAAAAAAAAAAAAAAAAAAAAAAAATCAACTATTCCAATCATCCGGAGCATGAACCATAAGCAATTAATACCTAAAAAATTAATATTACATGTAAAGAAAAAGGTCCCGTACCTTGACGGAATGACAAAGCTCCGGTACCGATTTCCGATGAGAGAGAACACTCGCGGCAATGTTCCTGGATAGTCCGACGAACTGGAGGTCGCCGTCACTGTCGAAGACGGCGTAAACGCCGGTCTCCGGCGGAAATTGTCCGGCGAATTGATCGGAGTCTTCTGGGACGACGATGAGCTCCGTCTCCGCGAGGGTCTTGACCGCCAAAACGATGACCGAAGCCCGAGGTTTGGGTTTGGTGTGAGGTTTTAGAGAAATGGATGGGAGGAAAAGGGAGAATGGTCCGGCTTGTGAATTGAGTGAGAGGTTAGGGGTATTTGTGGAAGAGGGAGCAGCGAATGGACGAAGAGAGGAAGTCGAAATGTGAACTGAAGAAAGGTGGTTTAGTGTCGCCATTTGCAGGGGAGGTGCGAGGGGGAGTTAGGGACGAGCTATCTGATATTTTGCTCGTTTATTATTTTGTATTTGTACGTATTTTTAGGACATATTTTATGAATTGTCCCAAAACTTCGTCATTTGCGTCAACGTACCCCTTAAACTTTAAAACGTATCTAGTGTGTCCCTTAATGTATAAATATGTTTTCAAATTCACCCCATAAATTTTAAAATATGCTATCATTTACACACACTACTGTGTATGACACATGTAAGTAGGCCAAATTTGTCAATTTTTTTAAACCCTTAGTGGACGTTTAGTTCATAAATTCAGAACTATTTTCGTTTTACGTGTGTTTTTTTATGAGAGAAAAATACTGCAGAGAATCATGAATTAAGATTCATAATTAGAAACAAATATAAGAAAAAACATCCTCTTAATCAACCTAATTGTATTCGGATTCGTTATCTATTTTTATTCCTCTTGTTTTTATTGCTTTTGAGCAACTATTCTAAAGGGCATGTTCTTTTGTCCAAAAAACTAAAAAAAAAAACAACTCGAGTTCTAACTTTATTCAAGTTCACGTTATTTTAAGTTTAAACTTTATTCAACTTTACTCAACTTTATTCAAGTTACAACTTCAACTCAAGTTATAACTCAAATTCAACTCAAAAACTACACTCAAGTTACACTAAAAAAAAACAAGGGAAATAGTAGGAAATGGGTCAATATGAAAAACTTAAAAAAGTATATAGGCCATTTTTTAGTTATAGAAATTAATATAACTTGTCAAGTTATGGTTTATAACCAGATAAGTTATGGACAAACTTGTCAAGTTATGGTTCATAACCAGATAAGTTATGGACAATAACTTGTTAAGTTATGGTTCATAACCAGACAAGTTATGGACGAAAACAGTAATTTGGCTTATTTATTAACTTATGTAAACTATTGACCTATTAATTTTAATTCATCTCAAGTCTTGACCTATTTTTCTCTTTCTCCCAAAAAAAAAAAAAAAAAAACAACCCCAGCTTCTAACTAATTTATTTGGAGTGAAAGACATTTATTAATCCCAGAACGTTGCGCCCAAGCTTAAACCAAGCGATGACTACAATTTTTTTCCAAAAAATAGCATGTGTGAAAGTTAGAGGGCGGATATGGAGAAATATTATAAATTAGGATGCAACAGTATGTTTTAAAGTTTAACCATGTTGCCATTACAAAATTTAGAGGAAATTCATAAAATTTGTCCTTTTTATTAGGGATTTATTCTCAATTTTCTACCTTTTTGAGCCTGAAAAAGTGGGCTAAGTTTCTTACGAGTCCAGAGAGAGTTTTGTGTCCAGAGATAATTACACAAACTTGTCACATTCCAAAACCTAGGTTAGTGACATGGACTTAAGTTAATGACGTGGGGGCTTTATTTACGCAAAAAAAAAAAGAATGTTTAACATTTTAAGTAAACTGTGAAAATAATTCAAGAGAATATATATATTGATGAGTGCGTAATTTATGCACTCATACGTTACTCCTTTAGCTAGTTTCGGTGTGTTTTTCCTCAAGATTTTATGTGGATTTGATGATTTTCCCTTAAGTGTGCAGTAATGGATGAAATCGCTGAGTTTTGAAGCATCTTGGATCAAAAAGACAGAGAATGAGGCGATACGACGCCTTCAGATGGCGATGCGGCTTAAAAAGGAGCAAAAATCGACGAAGAGACATCGAGAGCTGCGACATGTCACTTCCTTACAGGCGATATGTCGCCACATCCATGCGATATGTCGCCACTTCTAGGCGATATGTCACCTGATCTGCCGACTGCCACAGATAACAGCGAGAGATGCGATATGTCGCCTGTTTCGAGGTGATATGTCGCCTCCCGATTTTATTAAAAACACGTGTTTTTGCCCTAGAGGGGAGGGGAGATTTTTATGAAAAGTGATTGGCTTCTTGGGAGGCGTGCAGAATGTGGGATATAAAAGGGGAGACTAAAAACTGCAGAAGAAAGGAGAAAAAGGGTTTTCAAAAAGAGAAAAACTGAATCGGAGAGGATTGGAGGTTGGAGCAGTTCTTCAAGAATTCCAAGCGTTCTTTCTTCTCTTTCTTCTTGTATTTCTCTAGATTTTGAATATTGTTTTGAGACTGTGAGTCACATGATGTGTGGCTAATTTTCTTATTTGTTAGGGTTTAGATGAATCTCTATTTGTGATTATTGTTTCGACGTTTTAATGTGCATTTAATTAAAGCTCTTCATTTCTTTCGTGTTCTATTTTGAATTATTGCTGCTAAATCTATGATTTACATATTGCTATGCTTTATGAGATTTTGAATTGGGCAGATTTTTATTGTGAGGATTAATACTCGAGAGGGGAACGTTCAAGCAATCAAGAAACGGATAGAACAACTTAGGTTGGTGTGAGATCAAGAGATAAACATTGCCTAGGTAACCGAAACAATTTTAGGTTGTGAAATTGAGAAGTGGAATTCCAAGAATTGTTTCTAGAGTGGAACTTAGTGAAGGTAGGGATGAATAGTTGTATAGAGATATAGGCTTGATATCACCTACACATTCTTTATGCGGCACTCGAGAGAGGGTATAAGGATACACAGCACTCTAGGTTCTTGAGAACGTTGAGTTAGGTTAGGCACATTACTACGGAGAAACATAATCGTAATAGTTAGTTTTCCTTTATTTTAGTTTTTTTTCTTTGAGTCCATCACATCCAAATTTGATCACTTAGATAAAGTTAAGATATGATATTCACAATAGTTAGTTTACATTCTTAACGTCAATCCTCGTGGGACGATATCGGTCTTCAGACCACTTTATTACTTGTACGACTTGTGCACTTGCAAGCATAGTCAAATTATTTACAACATATATATATATATATATATATATAATTTTCTAAACAAGTTCACCATTATAAGTAATTCAGTTTGAGAAGGTATTGATAAAAAGACTGGTTTTTCCTTGAAATGAAAATAAATTATTAGTCTAATTTTATATTTGTCAAAGTTCTTTACCAAGTAGCTTCTTAGAGTATATTGGAGTTTTTCTCTTTTGCATCATTAAAATATGTGCATTTCAGATAAAGCAAAAATCTAATAAGTTTTAGGATACAAAGACTAAAGGGAAAGAAAATAAAGCAGACATCAATCGCAGTCCATAAGTTAAGAAATTTCAGTTATTATATGCCTTAATAGGAAATACAACTAAATAATATAACAACAATTCTGCACTCAACAATTGTTGGTTCCCGAATCAAATTCGGGTGCGGAAGCGTGGGGAAAGCGGATCGTGTATAACAAAAATTTTCATGAAACTTTTGAGATACTCTATAGATTATATTAATTTATGCACGAATGAATTAATCGCATTAATTTACATCAAGAATTCAATCCGAAAAAATACCTGGAAGCCAACTCGGATGATAACTTGAATTCTTTGACCACGAACAGTCATTGCTCCAATCTTTGTGTTTAGAATATCAAAGTCTTTCACGTCAATTCCTAGATTCCACGTAGACGTGTGTGTGGGCACACGTGAGACAAAACAGGTTTCTTAAACACTCGAATTTTCACAAACACCAACGCATGCACGATGTGGAATTTTTTTTGGAGAAAAAATATTTGCTCTCTTTTTTCTTGAGTAAATTCGGCCACACTAACTCTTAGGGCTGAAAATATGTTTCAAACAATTGTGTCCACAATTTTCTATCATTCTTATATTTAAAGAGTAGAAGTCAAACTTCAAAACAGGATCAAATTCTTATCTCCAATTTTGAATTTCGGAACAAAAATCCCTTCCCCTTATCTCTAAGGTGGCCGGCCATATTAGGGTTTCCTAACCCTGTGTGTGGCACCAATTCAGATAGGGAAGGAAGAGAAAAATCATCCTTTATCCTGTAGTCCAATTTTGATTCAGATTCAAATTCAAATTTAAGTCAAACTTAAATTAATTTGAATTCTAAAATTGAACAACTTATCAAATAAGTTTAAATGGATAAATCTAGATGTGTTCAAATTCAAATTTAAATAATCACATTATTTAAATAATAATTAATTCTCAATTAATTATTTTTTGAGTATTTAATTTTTAGAATTCCGTAATTTTAAAATTCCTATTTTGCCCTTTGTGTCTGGTAGAATTACAAGGACGACGCGGGGACATATGGACCTATAATCCCGAGCTCCAATAAAATTAATAATTAATTAAACACTTTAATTAATTAATTAATTCTATTAATTCCAATAGTTACTCCACTATAAACTTGTAATTGAACTCTCGAAATTATAGACATTAATTACTTCTAAACTGCGAAGTGTCTATTTGATATAGTCATTACATATAGATCAATCCTCCATAAATATTTCATAATTAGAGTCAGGTAAAATGCGTTAACTTCTCTAATTATATCTGCATCCTTGAGTACCATTGATTCTCTAATGGATAGCGATTCATAAAACACATTCATGAACCAGAGCACTCTTACTAATCCAAGTACCGAATCAACACTCAGGAGAATTATTTATCTACTTCTTTCTCAAGATGGAATGGATTCCATCTCGTATAATAACATTCCCAGCTACCTATTTCATTATGTCTCCAAAATACAAGGAATATGATTCAGGGTCTTGGAATCCGTACCGAGTAAATCAAAAGACATAAATCCATAAATAGGAGTTTGTTAAGAACTCAGGATTAGGATGAAGGATTAAGATCATCCTATATATGACAATCGGTAGACTCAATCAGAATTTCTATGCTTAACGGAAATTATTAGAAATTCATATTGTGTCTGTGTCCTTGTTCCACATAATCTTATTATGCGAAATACACTCATTCAATATCTCACCATATTAACAGTGCGGATAACACCGTTCCATTCTAAATGGGAATGACATATATTAATAATGTTTTAATTAAAGATTCCGAACTTTAATTAAATTCATCATGAACAATGTTTTTGATTATTATCTTTAAACACTATCCTCTCGTATATAACACTTATATACTATGTTTAAGGTTACATAAATAATCACCAAATTTTCATTAAATATTCATAAATATATGCATATAAAATAATGAATAAACTCTTTTATTAATTAAATAATAAATATCCTATTACATCTCATGCTTCTAGGACACTATTCCCAACAACAATCTATTCTAGCGTCTCTGGTTATCACCACCTACATGGCAGTACTCTCAGCACTAATACTCTTAGCACCACCTAGATGGGTGAAACACATTGAAAAGGAGAAAAATGTCCAATTAAATATATAATTTAATAAAACAAAATAATTTAGTTCGCAGTATTTAAAAGAATAATAAGAATGTATGGTGATTTGGAACCTTCGGAATGAGTGAAATCGAGTGGTACATGGAAGTCCAAGTCGAGACCTGGGGTTTATTCTTGAGAATGTCGGTCGCTTTCTAAGGGAGTTTCAACGTTGCAGAGATCTCTACGAGTGTAGTATCTCACAAATTGTTCCTTGTGTTAGCGTTTATGCCCTTAAATGTAACAATGTATATTAGACATTTTGACTATTTAACAAAGATTTATTTATTTCATATATCAAGTGTTTTGTCATTTTTACATTTATATTTATTGAATGTATGATAAGTAAATTGGAAATCTGAGACTGTCGCTCTAAATCTTAAGATCGTGATATGAAGAATATGAGGAAGACATGAATCTAAAGTTGATGGTCTAAACGATATGATCTGCAATCGATGAAATATAGTTGGGCGCTTTATTGATGTTAAGATTGTTATGTTGTCTACTTCCTAACGGAATGGCTTGTCTTGGTTGTCAGAGATAGGACTCCATAGTAGAGACATTGATATAGTTCCTAGTGGTGGAATTTATATAGGATTAGACTAAAATTGAATTATTTTGATTAATAATTCCGTTTGAATAAAACAATTAACTTTTGACTACTTATATGTTATCATCTTAATTCTGAGATGAATAATAAACCCGTATACTTGACTTGTGCCTTTTGATGGGCCAAATGGAAGAATCCTGACATTGTGTAAAGGTACGCATACCGGTATATTGGGGGTATGACTCTTGCATGCATAGATTTATTATTCATAGATAGGGAGTCCATAGCTCTTACTAAAAAAATTAATGATATTTTCTTATGGCATTATCCGGGGATTGAAAAACATGAGCGTTCAGCCATTAGACTACTTTGTGTCATCTAATGGTTTACTATTTATATTGGTACGAATAGTGGCTTTTTAATAGAGTGATAATGGAACATAAGATAAATATAATCAGAAAGGTAAAACGGAACTTGACCTCAAGTCGATTATGGATATCCTATGAGGATGATACACAATATAATAGGTTGTGGACAAGAGCTAATTAGAGCCTTGTAAATATATTGTATTGATCGAGAGTGCAGTTTTAGGCTTTTAATGGAGTAGCATTGGAACTTATATTCATTGTGATGAACTTGTGAGTTAACAAATAATGTCGTGATTATAAGAGCTTGATCAATACATGTCCATCATGTCCTTCTGCTAGCTCGTATATTTTCCTGATAGGATATGGCATATTTCCTACAACTTGATAACTTATGTTATTTCTGCAATAGGTTATAGTTCGGATGGAATTAGTTCATGAGTGATTTATTAATTGAATTAATTGTTTAAATTAATTCAAGATAAATTGGTTGAATTAATAAAGTGAGTTATTTATCGATTGAATTAATCGTGTAAATTAATTCATGATAAATTAGTTGAATTAATGTTTTTATTTTTATTTAATATTTGTTTTGATAAGATAATTTATACATTGGATTATTTGAATTAAAACTGCAGTTATTCTCAAGTTCAAATAAGAGAGACAAAATTGGGATAAAATATTGGGTTCGATTAACCGGTCAACTAACTATGTCTAGTTAACGAGACAGTCCTTTCAAAAATCATTCATCAAGTTCTCTACACTTAACCATCATCCATCAGCTCTCCTGAGCTGTCCTCTTGTTTCTATGTCTAGTTAACGAGACAGTCCTTTCAAAAATCATTCATCAAGTTCTCTACACTCAACCATCATCCATCAGCTCTCCTGAGCCGTCCTCTTGTTTCTATGTCTAGTTAACGAGACAGTCCTTTCAAAAATCATTCATCAAATTCTCTACACTCAACCATCATCCATCAGCTCTCCTGAGCCGTCCTCTTGTTTCTGTTTATGGGTCGATGCTCTCATATTAACCTCTTTCTAATTTATGTGACTTCTTACTCACAGTCGACTTTCTATTACTTTTAGTAACAAACATCCCCATATCTTCTCAAGAACCGCAGCTGCCATTAGTCCCTAGGCCAAGACTAATAGGTCTCGGTGTCTCACTAATCTATGAAGGGTGGTTAACCTGTAGAGAGGGTTATTACCTTGAGGAACTGATGATGTGGTATTAGGAAAGTCAATGATTGGGAAAATCATTTGTGGGAATTGTGCATTTTGTGTTTTTGTGGTTTGTTTACTAACTTCTAGGTTAATAACAATTTTTGTTAGGAGAATGATAAAGCAGATTTATAATAAATAGTTGAAGTAAATAACAAATCTTAAAATTATTTAAAGTAAACAACAGTTTACATTATAAATTTTCTATTTACGATTAGTAAAAAAAAAAAAATTCTATGTAATTTTTTTTAATAATTGGTCAGAGCTCTTTTTTTCATGTAAATAAAGATTTTTTATCATGTAAATTATTTTTTAATAATTATAAATAAAAAATTTTATTTACTTAAAATAATTTTAAAATCTACTATTTACTTAATTTAATTTTATAAATCTTCTATTTACTACAATTATTTTTTATTATTCCAGAAAAAAGAAAGACAAATTCCACAAAAGTATTGCATATTGGCATTAGAACGTGCGTAAAGAGAGAGTAGTGTGGGCCTTGGGTAAACTTATATCATGTTGGATTTGGGCCGAGATTGGGGACACACTTCCCAAACCCTTGGGACCCAAAATTCGCCTATTTAAGATGATCCATCAGATCGCGCTCGCCACCGCCGACTTTCAGGGGACAGGAGGTTGGAGTCTGGAGAAATTGATTTCTGTTCATCTTCAACGTCTCTTAAGGTAAAAAAATAGCATCCATTTTAAGGGTTCCATACCTCCGTTTCTTCTTAGGATTACGACCATCTTACTTCTAATTTATTAAGGTTTTCTTATCTATCGTATCGATTAGACAAATCTGTTTCCGATTAGGGTTTAATTGGGTCCGTTTGGTTTCCAATCTGAAACTGCTTTTATGGTTTCCAAAAGAAAAACAAGGGTTTGGGCATAAGGGAAAACTTTTCTGCCAGCCCCAAATACGGAGTCAAAGTTATGATTCTTCTGGTTTCTCTCATCTCCTTGCTTTGTTTTGAGCCCTAATCCCCAAATTTGCTTCGTTATTTCGTTTGCTGCAGGATTGATTTTGCTCAATCTTTTAAATAAGAGTTAATGAGGTTTTCAGTAAAACTAGTTGTGAATCCAAAGCTGGGGATGAAATCTGGAAGCTTGAGAAATAAACTTGGAATTTGATCATTTCCGTAGTAATTGATGCAAGGATATAATCTGAACTTTCTCTTTTTTGCTTTTCTGTGGTATGTATGCGTGAGATGATTGTTGAGTGAGCACTTGTATAGAAGCAGCTGAATATAGAGTTTCAATGGGCTTGTTCTATACGGTTGAACTTCTGAATTCTAAGCGATTCAGAAGCGATATTTAAACTTCTGTTGGGGATGTTTTCATGGCTCATGGTTGTTTCAATTTCTTATGTTAGTTATGTTGTTCCTGTGTTGTTATCGTGGTCTCTGGTGCCTCTTGGTCCTTGCTCTCTTTTTTCTTTCAATTGGTTACTTGGTTTAATGAAGTCTTCTTAACCCAAAAAAAAAAACAAAAGAAACTTCTTTATTATGCGAAGTTTTGACTCTTAAGTAATGATGAAATGCAACTTTGTAAGCAATTAACCATGATAAAGTTACAGTCCAATGACCATATATATGTTTATGCAGCCACTATAGCTACCATGTGGAGTCTTAAATCAGAAGAACATATGTGATGCTAAAAAAGGTTTGAAAAATTAACTCGATCAAATGCTGCTAGAATTTTCAATGAGTATTGCAAACAAAGAGGTTTTAGAAAATAATTATCAGTCAATGATTCCACAATTTCCATTATATTGCATTTTTATGCTGACGTGTTTTGGTTTTCTTCTTGGCAGCTTAATTAGATAGCTGGACAGAAGATCATGGCGGGTGGGAATTTTATGCACAGAGTTGTTTCGTACCTTGTGAATGAGCTTCTTGTCAACAGCCTTGCGAACAGGTAATTACTCTCAAGCCTTTATTTGTTTTATTTATTTACTTTTTTTTGGTATTTCTGAATATCCTTGTATTGTAAGTTCCGGAAGCTTCTTTCTCTGGCCACTAGGATCCTCTGTTCCCAAGTGGCTCGTTCCCTTGAAGCTAAAGGAATTCCAACTTTTAGACTTGCTTTGGCTGTGGCATAAACTTAGTGTGCCACAGCTTTCAACGTTTTGGAAAATTTTTGTCCACTTGACAACTACCTTCTTCTTTTTCTTTTTTTTTTTATTGTTCTCTTGCTTCCTTCCAATAAAGATATTATCGTACTGCCAAGGATTTAATATTTTTTTTTAATATGTATGTATATATAAATTTGAATTTTTCAATCTAAGTCCAAACTTGAAATGCCTGTGCTAGTGATTTGGAGGCTGAATTCGATGAAGCTACTAGATTAAAGCTTCTCGTTTAGGCCGTCCAGAAGGACCAGAACAATCACTGCCTGAACAGTTTGCTCCCAGAAGCGAGAAAAAATCTCGAACTTCTGATGTATGTAATCTGCAGTGTAAAATGTTATACGCTGCAGCTCAGAAGGTTAAGAACATATTCTCTTTGGTGTTTGGATTTTTTCCCCTTTTGTAAACCTTTTCTTTAAATTCCTTTTTTTTAAACTCTTTTTACTTAATGAAATTGATAGGAAAGTTAATTTATCTCCTTCCAGTTTTTTTTATAAAGCTTTTTTTTAATTATTATTATTTTAAAAGGCCTTAATTGTATTGGTACGAATAGATTGGACAAAATAGCTGTCAGGATTCTCCTCTTTGGATAATTGGAGTAATACACATTTCTTAATCTCCTAGTATATCTGTCATGTTATTTTGTTGTGAGTGGGGTTCTTTGAAGTTGATGTTCATCGCTGACTAGTTTAATTATATAGTATTTCTATTACCTTTAGGACAATGCAAACTAGGTAAAGAGGTAAACCTCAAAGTAGTCTTATGGGAAAATTGATCTTTATGGCCCTCCCTATCATTGTTCGTCTGTGTGTCTCTTTCTACTGTCAATGATGACCCTTCATAGGCTTGTAATGATTGCAGAATTGAATGCAGTAATTACTATGGCCTCGTTCATTTCACCAATTCGAGTTTTCAATTCCAGTTTTGCTACAGTTAAAAGCTCTCACAAAAAGTCACATCTAAGGAGACGTTTGGTTCATGGATTAGAATCATGAGATTAGAACCATTTTTGATTTATGTGTATTTTTTGTGAGAGAAAACACTGTAGCGAACCACGAACCATCCCCAACCAAACAACTCCTAACTTTTCTGCTACAGTGAAAAGCTCTCACATAAAATCACATATCAACTCGAATTAAAAACTTGAATCTGCGAACTGAACGATGCCTATATCTAAGGGCTGAGACTATTTTATCTCCTTCTTGCTGACTATGTAGTGGAGGTGGTAGACCTCCTTTTATACTAGGGTTACTGAAAATTATTGGTTGTTATGGTTTGTTCAATTGTCTATTTCATTATAAAAATTGTCAAATGAATGCCATGATTGTTTTCCTTTACCTGGGACTACCTTCTTCGGAAGTGTATTTTGCTGGAGACTCTGAGTCCAGGACTTGTTAATGGTTGTCATTACACATCTGTTATTCTTTTAATATCTCTCCTCAAGTTCTTCATGGATTCAGCGATCCTGTAGGAAGCACTTCCATACTTGCTTTATAATGTTTTAGAAGAGAAGCAATGTGATTTGAGATTCTTAAAAATGGAAATGATTGTTGATACTTCGATGGATGTTTTGGTAAATCTGTTTTCTTGTTGTTGCCAGTGATGACTCTTTGTAGGCTTGTAATGATCGCAGAGATGACTGCAGTAATTTACATCTAAGGGACTGAGGCTGCTTTTTTTTTTTTTTTTTTTTTGGGTCCCCTCTTAAAATTTGTTTTACTGATTGGTAAGTGTAGAGGTTTCGACGCATTCAATATTCCTGATGGATTATTGTACTGATAGCGTTTGAATATTTCTTCTTTTTGTCTGAATCTGTGCATGAGTAATAGTTGAGTATCGGACAAGCTTTAAAGAACCGATACCTCGTGAGATTCCAAAGTTAGTTACTGAGCTTGGTTGATGGAATTATCTAGCTTAGAAACTCTCATGTCAGCTGTCACTAAACCGTTTCTAAATGCATTTTCTTAGCCCTGCATTTCAAAGATTCGCTGTGAGGACATCCAAGAGGATGGAGGACATGTCAACTATGGGTACATTCGAATCGAATGGTTTTCTTACTCAGTATTTTTACAGTAATATGCATAGACTGACTTGATGTGCTTGTAACATGATTTGATCTTACAGCTGTGAAGAAAAGGCAAGAGCTTGCTGAACAGATGAAGGATCTATCAAAGAACTTTGAGGTTGGTTCTTTTATCTAAAGCGATATTTTATTTTTTTTAACTCAGTCAAAATAAAAGAAAGTACAAATCTCTTCTATAGAATTTTACTCTGTCTCAGATCTTTCCTTTGGTGTTTTACTAATCTGATCATTCCGTTGCAGTCTAATAAGCATCAGTGACGCTCATAGTAGGTGAGTGCGAACGTGGAGGGACGCTAATGTAAAGTTCTGTGTTTCACCTCTGCAAGGGTCACAAATTTTGTACATTGCGAGATTTTGGAGACCGATATTATAAATATTTCTGGGCTGTTCAGTGCTATAATTTCTGTTACAATTATTTTTGCGCGCAGTGTAACAAAGGATGGGAAAAACCCGCTGGGATTAAGTTTGATATTAAGACAATTTGCATGATCGGACATTATAGTGTTGGCTCGTTCTATAAAAAATAAAGTAAGAGTTGTGTCGGCTCGGCATCCTTTCACCTCGTATGTTCCTGTAAGCTGATGCTCTTGTACATGCACAAAGTTTCTTTTCACTTTTTCGTCGTTCGTAAGCATGATAAACATTTCCCCTCAAAATAAACAAAAAACATCATAAATATTCCTGATTCTGGAAATGAACGTGTTATTGCGTTGTAGATTCTTAATCAAGATCTAATTTGATGATGCCATGTGAACTGATGGAAGGAAAAATGTTGAAATATTGACTTAATCCCGTGTAAGTGAATCGGAGCACTGTGATGGTGACATACGCGGCCATATTTTTCAAGCTTTTTTTTTTTTTTTTGGTTCTTTCTTGAACTATTTTGTTTGATTATTGTAGCGCGGCATGGCTTGCGGTAGTCATGGTTTGAATGTGTATTTACTAAGGGCCCGTTTAGTTCGCTAATTCGAGTTTTTAATTCGAGTTAAGATGTGATTTTGGGCCCGTTTAGTTCACTAATTCGAATTTTTAATTCGAGTTGAGATGTGATTTTATGTGAGAGTTTTTTACTGTAGCAAAAAAGTTAGATGTGACTGTTTTTTAGAGCTTTTTACTGTAGCAAAATTTGAATTTTAAACTCGAATCGGTAAAGTGAACGGGGCCTTTATGTGAGAGATTTTTACTGTAGCAAAAAAGTTAGATTTGATTGTTTGTGAGAATTTTTTACTGTAGCAAAACTCGAATTCTAAACTCGAATCAGCGAAATGAACGGGGCTTAAATTGTCCAATGATGAGATGCGAGAAACGCTAATAATGAGTTATTTTTCTTTTTGGTAAATTGTCAAACTATTGACGAAGAAAATGGTCCGTTTAAGTTAGTAATATTAGATATAAGATTTATCAAGTAAAGTGGTTAATTAATATAAGTTTTATCAATTAGTTTAATTAACCAATATTTAATTTAACAATTAATTTAAGTTTGTAATGAATAGTTGAGCATAATGTGGGCATTTTTAAAATATTTTGTTCTATTAGTTAACAAGTACATACGAGAATGAATGATTATTATGCGATTTGTAAAACAATTCCTATTCCCCTCCCAAAAAAACAAAAAAACAAAAAAACATAGAAAGAAAGAAAGAAAGAGAAGACAAAGTATAGGCCACCCACCCTTGCCTCCTTGCTCACTGTGGTCAGGGTCGTGCCTCCTTGCGGCTCACTGATGGCAACATGTGGGTTTGGGGCTACGGTGGGCATCTCGTCTACCCGCCGCACGAAGAAAAACAATCTTCGTCTCTTTCACATTAAGTTGTTTAAGTTGGTGGGACGGGTGGATCTTTTCCGTCACTTGAATTATTTGTTGGATATCCTCAGTTAGTTATCATATATCGGCATGTACAAAACATCATACTTAATATTACATGTACAATATAATATTATGCATCATATTCAATTTAAAAATAAGACATAATTAAGCGTGTGGGTTGTAGCCCTACATGACGAAACCTCAAAGGCTATCTGATGCAGCGCGAGGGAGCTGCAAGACATATCAACCGGTTAACCGGTTGGACACGTGCGGTTAACTATTGGAGGGTGGAGTCTCAAGATTCGAAGATTGGCGATTAAGCAATAAAGGCCTCGTTCACGGACTCGAGTTTTCAATTCGAGCTGAGATATGACATTTTTTTAGAGCTTTTTACTGTAGTAAAAAAAGTTAGATATGACATTTTTTGAGAGCTTTTTACTGTAAAAATCTAAAATTGAAAACTCAAATCGGTGAAATGAACGAGACCTTAGTTTCTAACTTCTTAATTGTTTCATTTTCTTTGTTTCCTTTTTCATTTAAGTTATTTATGCACTTCTTCTCTTTAGTTACTTTTCCATTTTAGTTTTCTTTTTCTAGTTTCTAAAATTAGTTTTGAGGTCGTTTCCTTTTAGTTTGTTTTCAATTGGCTATTTAAAGTAGGACTGACAATCTAGGTAATAATACGACGACACGACTCGAAACTCACACGAAATTAATGAGTTTGAGTTTATCATAAATAAGTTTGGGTCAAAATCATATCAAACCCGTGAAACAAGATTAAATAGCGCGTCATTTTCAAGTTGACCCACCAATCCGCAATTGACCTGTCGTAACTCATTTATTAAACGTGTCATATTTGGATAACACGAATACACAATATAATTATAACCCGTTTGTTACCTATGTTGAGAATCAACTTAGAAAATAGTTTGAGAAATGGGTTGACACGACCTTATTATCACTCATTTTATAAACGAGTTAATAAACGGGTTATTAGAAACAGGTTGACACGACACTATTATGACCTGTTTAATAAACGGTTTAGTCGTGTCGTGTTGTGTCAACCCGCCAATATACACGTCGTGTTTGGGTTTTATTTTTTGACACGAATAATAAACGGATCGTGTTCGTGTCAAGTCTTACCGTGTTAACTGAAGAGGTCAACACGACACGAACACGACATAGCAACACGAATTACCACCCCTAATTTAAAGGCTTTATCAGCATTGTATTTATCAGTTGAATTATTAATAAAATCTGAGATTATTCTCACCAATTGCTTGTTTTTCGGTATTCCCACGAATCAACGAATTACTTGCACTCTTGTTTTCTGATATTCTATGTGTATCAACAGACTACAATTTATTTTCAAGCTTCCTCTACATCACTATAGAGCCCTGTGAAGTAGCAAATCAGCCCCTCCTTGGTAGGATTGCAACATCCCTCTACTACCCAACAGCCGTGGGTCATTGTGGTGGGCAAGGAAGATTTCTTTCAAATAGAATCTTTGGTAGGCAATGAAAAAATGAACTATTGAAAATGTTTTATTTTCATCCGTTCATGTGAAAGTGTCCTTTTTGCATACTTTTTTTAATCTGTGTGATTGATTAGATACAATGATCAGAAAATGAAGCAACAAGAAAGATCTTTCTTTTAATAGATTTTTCATTTTTGTATTTTGAATTTTTTCAAGTAAGGGGTTTTGTTTTGTTTTGTTTTTTTTTTTTTTTGCGTGGAGATTTTTTTAACTCAAATTCCATTTAGTGAAAGGGGTATTTGCATCGTTTTAAATATCAAAATTTGAAGGATTTATTTTTTTTAATGGGTAGATATATTGCCACACCTATTCTACTTTGCTCACACCCTTTCTTACATCACTTAAATACACATTTTGATTATCAGTTGTCACATCCCTTTTATTATTTAAAAAAAAAAAAATCCTACAACTAAATTGTATTGTCTCTCCTCTTTTCACCCACCAACCATTGCATCTATCATTTTTTTTAACAACCGTTTTCTCAACTAAATTGTATAGGATGTATTTTATAAATAAAAAGATATATGTTTTTCATTCTTTCTAAAAAATGCAAGATGAAAATCGTATTTCATTGGGGATATATATAGTTCTTTTTTGCTTACATCATGATAAGGTAAGTTTGTCACATTTTAATCCCAACCTACTAAATTTCTTCGATTAAATTTTCTGTTGGAACTTGTAAGAGCGGTGTCCAAATCCTAATTGCTTTAAAATTTTAATGTAAATTAGAAAAATAATTTGAGAATTTTAATAGTGAAACAACTTATTTTACTTTACTAATTAGAGTAATTATTTTTAACTATTAGATTTATTTTTTAATAATTAAATTTATATTGATTCATATTAAAAATTTACAACGCGTTACATAAAATTATTTCTAATAAAAATTTAACTGTTAAAAAATTAATCAAATAATAAAAATATAGTCTATCCGTGAAGCAAGGACCAAGGAACAGGTAAAGGCATCGTTCAACTCACCGATTCGAGTTTAGAATTCGAGTTTTGCTACAGTAAAAAGCTCTCAGAAACAGTCACATTTAACTTTTTTACTACAGTAAAAAACTCTCACATAAAATCACATCTCAACTCGAATTAAAAATCAAAATAACAAATAAATAACAACAAATAAACAACAACAAAATAGCCCGAGAGAAATCAAAATATAAAACCCTCGTCTGTTGTATGCGGCCAAAGTAAAAGGGTTTTAGTTTTTTCATTTGCGGGAAGATCCAGAAGCTTTTCTTCTGTTCCTTGCTCAATCCATTAATGGCGAATCTCATTTCCAAAAAATCTTCCAGTTTTCACCACATTTGTCGCTCTCTTCTTCACCTGCACGCTCTGTCCCGACGCCCGTCGCCGTCGCCGTTTTTGCCACTCCACGAGGCGCTTCAATACCGAGGGCCTCTCGCTCTTCTTCAGTCGGTGCGTTTCCTTTCCGTAATTTCTCATTCTCTTTTCTTTTCTTATTCTTATGCGTTTGATTCTAGGGAATATATATATATATGTAACCTCTGATTTTCCAAAATTTCCGAGTAAAATTCAATGAAAAAGCTTTTTTTTTGTTTTATAAATGTAAAGGTGTTATTACCTCGAGGGCTTGGAACGCAATCTTTGGTTGTATATCAGAGATGTCTATTTTCAACAACCAGTGATGCTAAAGTGAATCCAGCTAATGAAGAATCAAAAACAGCGGGAGAAGCTAATTCTGGTAAAGAAGAAAAGTCTGGTGAATCTCATCAGAGCAGTAATACTGGGAAATCCGTCCGAGGAGGGGTAAATATTTATAGTATTTGTGTGGATATATAAAGTTTGGAAAATGTTATTTATTTTATGCAACAATGACGCTAGAAAAGCTAACAACAAGAATTTAGTTAGAGATTTGTAATTCCGGACTAGTGTTACACCTTTCTAATGTCATTGTTAAATAGAATAAATATCATGTTCCGCCTTTCATTTCTGAATGTTACGGAGGATGTTCCTTCGCGAGACAAACCTTATAAAGTTTTCTTTAGAGCTGTCGCCTTTCTGACCTTATTATGTTGAAATTTTTGCAGCCAGTTTCGTGGTTAAGTTTCCTTTTGCTGATAGCAACTGGAGCAGGAATTGTCTTGTACTACGACAAGGAAAAGAAAAACCATATAGAAGGTAGACTATTATGGTGAGTAGGATGTTAGTTAGCTGTGATGCTGACTTGGATCTCAGAGTTTAATGAAAGTGATATAGTAATGGGTTTAAATCGTTCCGGAAAATTAACTTAGATGTATACAAAGGCGCTATTGTATACAAAGGCGTTATTGCAATAGTGAGTAGAATTTGTTTTAATTGTCTTTATTTAAAACATCAAAATATTTTCAGGAGCTGGGATGGCACATGCTTGGAGAGGTTATTGGTAACTTTGATGTTACTAGAATGATCTTAAGGATTGTTTAACCTAAACGTCACTTGATTTATTCATTTGTAGTAAAACTTCATTTTTTTACAATCTTTTCCTGTATTTATTTTGCTGCAGAAATATATAGCGCTTCTAAGGAAATAATACATGGACCATCTGTGGGAAAAGCTGCCATTGGAGGGCCGTTTAATCTTATTAACCATGAAGGGAAGCGTGTAACTGAGAAGGATTTCTTGGGAAAGTGGAATTTGATATACTTTGGTTTCACTCACTGCCCGGATATCTGCCCCGATGAGCTGCAAAAGTTAGCTGCTGCAGTTGATAAAATAAGTGAGTTGTGTTTTTGTTTCTGGACTCAGTTACAGAATAAACATTAATTATATCAAGCAGATCAAATTCTCATTGTCAAGATACTTCGACACTAATTTCATTTTGGAATTAATATTAAGAATTATAAGAACTTGATGTGTGTATATGTTCTATCTTCCATGACTACTTATGTACTTATGACTGAGTATTTTACACGTCCACTGCAGCCGCACTTTGTCATCTTGTAATTCTCATAACCTTTACTCTTTAGAAAGTCATTTCTAGGTGTTTCCAATAATCAAGTTTTGCGATCTTTCATCATGATGTACTGGGAAAGTATATGTAACTTCCTTCATAGCTCTTATTGCAGCAATTAGGAATTTGGATGAGAGGTCAAGGCACTTCATCTTCTTAATTTCAGCTATATGTCAGCATAACATGTTTTTCAGAATACTTTCCCTTATTTTGTTTTTGTGTCGACTATGATGCAGAACAAAAAGTGGGGATTGAAATTGTACCTGTGTTCATCTCTGTTGATCCTGAGCGAGACACTGTTGAGCAAGTTGGTGAATATGTCAAAGGTGATTTTGAAAGAAGAATTTTCTTGGGTGTTCTTTTCATAGGTTTCAGTGGAAAGCTGAAACTGAAATTCAAATTTTTGTGAGCAAAAAAAATGTAGGAAAAAAGTCGAATTGTGATTTGAACCTACAAAAAGAACGGGCCTAATAGTTATTTATCCGAATGAATTAATATCTGTTATTGTTTGCTTGTTTTGATGTTTATTCTCGTCTTCTTTATTTCAACTTTTCCCCCTTGTGTTTTGTTTACTCTCCAGAGTTCCATCCAAAGTTAGTTGGGTTAACTGGCGACTCAGATGAGATACGGAATGTTGCTCGTGCATATCGAGTGTATTATATGAAGACGGCAGAGGAAGACTCCGATTACCTTGTCGACCATTCTATTGTGATGTATGATCAAGTTTTTCATGCTTTGTTCTTCCATTTTTGCGTATTATATGATATCACCATATGCCAACATTCAGTGGCAATTTTGAAGGGGGGTGATGGCTGAAGACTTTTTTTATGACTATTGAACTCTGTAACGTATTTGTTATTTTCACCTCAATTTGTCATCATCGTCACAAGATAGTTTTTTAATTGCATTTCTTGGTTAGTTTTTCTAATTAGGGGTCTAGAACTTTTAGGCCATTTAATACTTTCATCTCCTGCAGAACTTCATTCTCAATTTTAAAATTTCAATGATAACCTTGTTGAACATTTCTAATTGCTTTTATTTTATTTTATTTTTAGTGAAATTCATGGCTTTTTTTATTTAAGGTAATTTATGGCATGTAGGGATTTGCCAACATTGTTAGTATCTAGGCATGGTGTTCTATGTTATTTTATTATTTTATTATTGCGTTCTTAGGTTTTAGTCCAAATGATTTATTTCTAATATAAGAATCTTTATGGAAATCCTGTGCAGGTACTTGATGGGTCCTGACATGCAGTTCGTAAAATTTTTTGGCAAGAATAATGATGTCGATTCATTGACGGACGGTATAATCAAAGAGATAAAGACCTACAAGAAGTAGAAAGATATCTTGTTCTTTTTTTAGAAGTACTTTCCGAATGATTTATTCCTCATTTATGGAGGCCATGCCGCTTGTTAAATGGTATTTTTCTTCAAAATGATTTCTTATTCAAGTTCATAAACGTGAGAGGTACATGCAGTTTTAAGATACTGCTGAGAGCATTGCGAAACATTTGTTTTGTTACTAAGTAGTTTTTTTTTTTTTTTGGTTGGGAGGGAGTTTTGTTACTAAATAGTTATAGACTACCATTACAGTAAGGTACTACGCGATACTGATTCTGTAGTAAAAAAATTATGTGATTATTTTTTAGAATTTTTTACTGTAGTAAAATTTGAATTAGTGAAATGAACGAGACCGTATGGGGATTGTAACCCCTTCTGTTGGGTAGAGATGTCAAATGGGCCGGGGCGTCTATGGATGGCCCGGCCCAGCCCGTAATAGTGCTTGATTCGGCACGGTCCGGTTCGCTACTGTTCCGGGCCGTGCCGGCACAGCACGTGTAATGGGCTAGGGATGGGCCTCAACTTCTCAACCCGCGGCCCAAGTACGTGGAGGCCCGTGGCACGGCCCTTGTTCGGCCCGGCCCAAGCCTTGATACGGCCCGGCCTAAGCCTGCGTAATGGCCCATGAAATAGCCCATTTCATTTGGTCCAGGGAGCCCTTCGCAGGCCCAACGGGCGGCACGTGACGGGCCTCCCGTTTGGCCCGTCACATGCCTCCTGTTTGGCACGTGACGGGCCAAACGGGAGGCCCGTCACGTGCCGCACGTTGGGCCTGCAAAGGGTTCAACAGCAAAAAACTGAAAATTCACCCCAAAATTCCTTATAAATACCTCTTAATTCCACCATAAATCGCACACAACAATTCACTCTCAACTTCTCATCTCACTCTCATTCTATCTCTCAACTTGTCTCTTTGATTTTGATTCTAAGCTTCTCTCTCGCGTTCATTCATTTTCTGGCTCTTTCATTTACAAAGTTCAATCAAGTTCTATCAATTTTCAGAAATTGCCGCTCAAAACTTCTCTGATTTCACTACTCTTCCTGAGCTTGGTGATGAGCCATTTTATGAGGATGAAATGATGCCTCCCAACCCCACCCTCACTGAACCAGAAAATGTTCCGGTTGATAATGCTTCAGTACACAACGAGGAAGCTGGAGAACACAGCAGAGGAAAAAGACCGCAAACTTCTCCGGTATGACAACATTTCACCGAGGAGTTCCGACCAAATCCAAAAACAGGTGAGATGAAAATTTGTGCGGTATGTAAATGTTGTAAAAAGTACTTTTCTAATAAAAAATGTGGGGGTACTAGTCATCTGGATAGACATTGAAAAGTATGTCTACCGTTGCACCAGGGTAGGAGTGTGGACTCCTGCCAACAAACACTATCACTCACATCACAGGGGTTACAAAATTTTACATACGATGCACAACGTGCTCGTGAGGCACTAGCTAAATTTCTAGCTAGTGCCGAATTGCCTCTTTCTTTTACAGATGATGCCTCATTCGAAGAATTCATCCAGACAGCCTTTTCCCCACAATTTAAACTGGTAAGTAGAAACACAACTCGTTCTGATTGCATGAAAGTTTTTTATGCAATGAGATAATCTCGTGTTGATAATTTTAGGACTTTTAATGCTACTGTCTCTTGCACTTCTGATATGTGGGAGGGGTGCAATAAAACTGGATATTTATATGTCACAGCGCACTACGTTGATGACGATTGGGTTTTACAAAAAAGAATAATTGATTTTCGTTTATGTCTATACCCTCATAACGCAACAGCTATTTTTAATACAATAATGGAAATTTTTGAGTTTTATGGGATAGAAGATAAAATTTTAACAATTACTTTTGATAATGCGTCAGCTAATACAGCTACAATTAATCTGTTTAAACGTAGTTTGAAACCAGCATTTGGAGGGAAAAATTTTCATCAACGGTGTGCATGTCACATAATTAATTTAGTAGTTCAGGCAGAAATTGAACATATTTCAGCTAATCTTACAAATATTAGAGAATCATTATCATTCATATCTAGTTCTGGAGCTCGGCTCTAAGAATTCAAACAATATTGCAGGAACAGCCAGATGCGCCCAAGAAAGTTTCCAACTGACGTGAGACATAGGTGGAATTCAACATATATAATGTTGAAAGAAGCACTCTCATATTCACAGCTTATCATGACATACGTAAACAGTAAGAACGATCAAATTTTAATTTTCGATCCTGATTGGCAGATTGCTGAGTATTTTTTTAAATTTCTAGAAGTTTTTTACAATGCTACTGAATTACTTTCTGGAGTTTATTACCATATTGCACATTTAGTTTTACATCAACTATTTAATATTTCAGAAACATTTTCTTATTATAGGGATACATAACTTTTTGAAAATATAGTTAACTTAATGGAAAATAAATTTAAAAGTTATTGGTTAGGTTGTCCCATGTTATATGCATTGGCAACCATTTTAGATCCTAGGTGCGGAGTAGATGAAACTGAATCATTGATGACTGCTACCGCAGAGAATTTAGAAATAGATATGCAACTAAGTATTACTGACGCTAAGAAAATGTTAGAAAAAAATTTTAGTTTGTATGAAGCAAAATACATCACAGGTCAAAAAGAACAGGGAACTGTTGGTAGCTGAATCAGAAGTCGGCTGTAGAAGCGTGGGGAAAAGACGGATCGTGTATAACAAAAATTTTCATAAAACTTTTGAGATACTCTATAGATTATATTAATTTATGCATGAATAAATTAATCACATTAATTTATATATAGAACTTAATCCGTAAAAATACCTGGAAGTCGACTCGGATGATAACTTGAGTTCTTTGACCATGAACAGTCCTTACTCCAAGCTTTGTGTTTAGAATACCAAAGTTTTCCACGTCGATTCCTTGATTCCACGTAGACGTGTGTGTGGGCACACGTGAGACAAAATAAGTTTCTGAAACACTCAAATTTCCACAAACACCAACGCATGCACGATGTGGAATTTTTTTGAGAGAAAAAATTTTCCTCTATTTTTTCCTATATGAATTTCGGCCACCAATCCAATTAGGGCTGAATAATGTTTTTCAAAAATTGTGTCCACAATTTTCTATCATTCTCATATATAAAGAGTAGAAGTCAAACTTCAAAAAGGAATCAAATCTCTATCTCTTATTTGAATTTGGAACAACAAAATCTCCTCTCATTATCCCTAATGTGGCTAGCCACCCTAAGGGTTTTCTAACCTTGTGTGTGTGGCGTCAAATTAGATAGGGAAGGAAGAGACTTTATCCTTTATCATGTAATCTAATTTTAATTCAAATTCAAATTCGAATTTAAGTCAAACTTAAATTAATTTGAATTCTAAATTGAACAACTTATCAAATAAGTTCAAAAGGATAAATTTAAATTATGTTCACAATTCAAATTTAAATTTAAATAATCACATTATTTAAATAATAATTAATTCTCAATTAATTATTTTTTGAGTATTTAATTTTAGA